CAGGCTGGAGGGAAGAAACTCAACTGCCAGTTTCAATATATCAATGTTCTCAGAATGGGGAAGTTGGGAAAACCAACTGAGGAGAGCTCTGGTGTCCAAATACTCACGGGGATGGCAGTTCAGATTTTGGGGTCCCAAAGTTACAACTCTTCAAAATCCTTCTTTCAGGAAAGAATCCAAAGAATGTGTTTTATCTAGAAAAACAGTATGTCAGCATTTGATTAGTATGACACTTTTAGGCTTTCAATCTCTTTGAAGCCGTCAATAAATGCACTCCCAAGTTGACAAAATTCGCTTTTAGAAAAGAAAACAAAAAAACACAAGTGACACATTTGTCAGTTGCAACCGACTAGAAAATAATAATCACCACAAGGCTGTGACATAAACTAAAACGTATAATTTATTTAAAAAAGCAATGATCACTTTGATATGTCCCACCCAAACTTCCTGCTTATAGGAAAAACAAAGAAAACGAAACTGGGTTTGTTAAGCCATTTCATGGATTTTTACAGATAAGCAGTGTCATTTAAGTAACGATGCCAAATATAAATTAGTTTCTGTCACTAAAAATCTCTCAAAGTCATCTCTCAAAGCCTTTTTCAGAAGTGAAAAATATTGCTAGACAATCCCTGTCTTCAGCAGCTGTGTTAACCATACCAAAAAAATTATTTCAAGTGCTGACCATGTGCATTTATGTTAAAGCAGAAAAAATTCCAGTGCTGTTTAGTATTATTGAGGAAGGACTGTGTTGGCAGTGTTATTTTGGCCAGTTTTAATCAGATTCAGCAGATTGCTTCTGGCAAGTTGTTTTGCTATTCTTGTCACAAGAGTCCCCAGGTAGCAGTCAGCTTAAAACCATTCATCAAAATTATTAATATTCCCTATATCAGCACTACAATACCCTTGACCAGAAATAGAGAGGTTCAGCCCACTATGAATGGCAAAGTAGGGTGTTTACGTTCAAAACACAATAAGAGATCATTTTGCAAGTGTTCCTCTAGTATGTCTCTCAGAGGTAGACTTGATCGAATTCAGACCATAAAGTCTTGGATGCATCCATATCATAAACATGAAATTCAAGTAGGCTGACTAAAACCCAGCGTATTGCATTTGGCTCATTGGTTTAAAGTTGGTTTTTACACCTCATTGAGTAAGCTTGCACATTTTGGCTGGTCGGTTGAGCTTTAAGAGAGGATAAAGTTTTGTTCTGAAGATCTGCCGTGCGAGAGTATCATCTCCAAGAGGAAAGATGCTAAATCATCTAAAGAGGCTTTCTGTGATGAAGCTTCAATATATCAATGTTCTCAGGATGGGGAAGTTGGGAAAACCAACTGAGGAGAGCTCTGGTGTCCAAATACTCACGGGGATGGCAGTTCAGATTTTGGGGTCCCAAAGTTACAACTCTTCAAAATCCTTCTTTCAGGAAAGAATCCAAAGAATGTGTTTTATCTAGAAAAACAGTATGTCAGCATTTGATTAGTATGACACTTTTAGGCTTTCAATCTCTTTGAAGCCGTCAATAAATGCACTCCCAAGTTGACAAAATTCGCTTTTAGAAAAGAAAACAAAAAAACACAAGTGACACATTTGTCAGTTGCAACCGACTAGAAAATAATAATCACCACAAGGCTGTGACATAAACTAAAACGTATAATTTATTTAAAAAAGCAATGATCACTTTGATATGTCCCACCCAAACTTCCTGCTTATAGGAAAAACAAAGAAAACGAAACTGGGTTTGTTAAGCCATTTCATGGATTTTTACAGATAAGCAGTGTCATTTAAGTAACGATGCCAAATATAAATTAGTTTCTGTCACTAAAAATCTCTCAAAGTCATCTCTCAAAGCCTTTTTCAGAAGTGAAAAATATTGCTAGACAATCCCTGTCTTCAGCAGCTGTGTTAACCATACCAAAAAAATTATTTCAAGTGCTGACCATGTGCATTTATGTTAAAGCAGAAAAAATTCCAGTGCTGTTTAGTATTATTGAGGAAGGACTGTGTTGGCAGTGTTATTTTGGCCAGTTTTAATCAGATTCAGCAGATTGCTTCTGGCAAGTTGTTTTGCTATTCTTGTCACAAGAGTCCCCAGGTAGCAGTCAGCTTAAAACCATTCATCAAAATTATTAATATTCCCTATATCAGCACTACAATACCCTTGACCAGAAATAGAGAGGTTCAGCCCACTATGAATGGCAAAGTAGGGTGTTTACGTTCAAAACACAATAAGAGATCATTTTGCAAGTGTTCCTCTAGTATGTCTCTCAGAGGTAGACTTGATCGAATTCAGACCATAAAGTCTTGGATGCATCCATATCATAAACATGAAATTCAAGTAGGCTGACTAAAACCCAGCGTATTGCATTTGGCTCATTGGTTTAAAGTTGGTTTTTACACCTCATTGAGTAAGCTTGCACATTTTGGCTGGTCGGTTGAGCTTTAAGAGAGGATAAAGTTTTGTTCTGAAGATCTGCCATGCCAGAGCACCATCTCCAAGAGGAAAGAGGTTAAATCATCTAAAGAGGCTTTCTGTGATGAAGTCTGTTCGGAGTCAAATACAGAGATTGATGCCACAGAACAACGTCCACGGAGACTAAATATGTTAACAGGGATGTGGGCCAGAAAAGCAAAAGTGGTTAGAAATGGTGGTCAGAGCAAACACAGGGACTCAACTCTTCCTCCTTCAAACCTTTGTAAATGCTGGAATGTGTAATGTAATTCTAGCCTATGTTTTCGGAAAATGTCTTTAAAGGCAACTTTAATTAGTGATGTTTAAATGTCGCTAAAATTGCTCGTAATTAAAAAGTGTTCACACTGAAAACCGTTTGGAGAAAAAAATCATTCACTTTTATTTTTGTGTGCCTATCGCTGACTAACAAATGCCACAATTACTAATAAAATTCAATTTTGTCAATCTCTATATTCCCTTGCTAAATACATATTTTAGGACAAAGAAAACTCACCTATGGAGGGCGAAACCTGCAAAAACAATAAATAAATAAATACACAAATAAATAAATAAATGTGTGCATAAATACACGTATTCTTGTTTAAATACATAAATAAATAATTATACATGTGATGAAAGTAGGCAAATAAATAATATAAATTGGTGGGCAAATGGAAAATGTTTAAGGAAATGCTAAACTCATCCTA